AAAAAATAAATTAAATGATATGAAGTCATTTTTTAAGGTGGTAGAGTTGATTCATGACCTACAAATTACATTAAGGAAGGTTATTATTATACTAACAATTGATAAATAATTAATTGAGGATAGTATTAAAACCTAAAGGGAAACCTAAATAATAAAGATAGTGAATTGAAACATCTTAGTAGCTATAAAAAAAAATAACAATGATTTATAAAGTAGTGGTGAACGAAATATAAAGAGTTCGATGAGTAATACATAGAAAGTGTATGAATATAACTGCATAAACAGTTAAGACTAAAAATTTAATGTAAATAACATAAGTACTGTGAAGGAAATATGGATAGTGGATCAATATAGCTAATAATATTCTAATATGAATATTATGTACCTATTGCATAATGGGTTGGTTAGTTATTAGATATAGCAAATCAAATATGAAGATATATATAACTAAAAATAATAAAGTTATATTTAATATACCCGAAACTAGATGATTTTTTCTTGACCAAGTAATTCATTAAATTGAATTGACTGAACGGTAATTTGTAGCAATAAATTCCGATGAGTTGAGAAAGGGAAGTGAAAGACAAATCTGATTTAGATATAGCTGGTTGTCGACGAAATATATATTAGTATAGACCATTTAAATATTTTTTATTTTTAATAAGAAATAAGATATTACTATAATATTACAGCAATTTTTATTGATAATATCATTATATAATAATGATAATAATATTGGGGATCTTATACGATTTATCAACAATAAATAACCTCGAAATAAGATATGTAATTCATAAATGGATTCGGACTATTTACTTTAAGGTAATTAGTCAATAGGGCAATAACCCGAATAAATGATAAAGTACCAAAATAATATTAAGTGTTATCAACATAAATATGTATTAATACGTTTTAATTACTGGGTTTGATAGTAACTATGTTTTAATTAACGTGTAACAACGAATTAAATAATAAATGCAGTTTATGATAAATTATTAGTGCTCAAAATATTATACTGATTCATTTAATATTTATATTTATTTAAATAATAAATAATAAATAAGATAGTCGACTACATAATGAGAGATAAAATCTATAGAAATAAAATATTAATGTTTATAGATAATTGAATTATGTTAAAACTGCTAACATGAGTAACGTAAATTGGTAATGTGTAACATAAAACCAATTCATCTTAAAAGCGAGGTTTTAATAGAAAATACGGATTCTAAGCAAATAATTTTGACAAAAATTAGGCGATGAAAAAATAAATTGTACAGTTAAAGTAATATATTTATATATATTATATTATACTCAAGAAATATAATTTATAAAGACCGTAATTATACCGACACAGGTGCTTATATAGAGAATATTAAGATGAACGAGTGTAATGAATATTAAGGAACTCGGCAAAAAAAATGATAGATAATTCATATAAAAACGAAGTTGTACAACTGTTTAACTAAAACACAGCACATTGCAGATATTAAATTATTAGTATAATGTGTGAACTCTGCTCAATGCTTAGAAATAAATGAATTGATTAATTTTGTGATTGATTTTCAATACTTTGCAAATAGCAGCCTTAACGTGAGGGTTCTAAGGTAGCGAAATTCCTAGGCTAATAATTGTAGTCCTGCATGAATGACGTAATGATACAACAACTGTCTCTATATTCAACTCGGTGAAATTAAATATGTCGTGAATATTCGACATGAAACATGTAATTAGACGAAAAGACTTAGGCAGCTTTACTATAACATATTATTGTTAATAATAAGAATATATTATACATATTCGGGATATAGAAGATTATATATATATTAAATTATATATATAATGTTATTGATAATATTAATATTAATTGATATTATTAATAATGTATTTATTAATTAATTTATTAATTAATGAATTATAATATTTATATTTATATTAATTTATAAATATATACTTATTATTGTATTAATAATTATAAATAGCAAGTAATTAAATTATGTATATAATTATAATTTGGAAGAATTACTTTAATTATTAATAAAAACTTATTTTACTATAATAAATATATTTATATATTTATTAATTTAAAGATTTAAATTAGGTAGAAGAACGTGATATGTGGTTAGTTTTACTGGGGCGGTATTTTCATAAAAACTATCTGAAAATTCCATAATGATAATTATATTAATTAAAATTAGTTATATTTAATATATGATCAAATTAGTAAAGAAAACTAAATTCATTAAATAAAGATGAATAGAATCAATAATAGGATAATCATATATGATTTAAGTTTCAACAAAAATTTAAAGGATGAAAATCTGGTATAGTGAACAGAACATTATATTGAATTTATAGAGTGTTCGATTAAAGGATAAAAGTTACGCCTTAGATAACTGGTTAATTTGGATAATAGTTCTAATCGTAATCCAAGCTTAACACCTCGATGTCGGCTTACGTTATCCTAGAAGTGAAGCAGCTTCTAAAGGTTAAACTGTTCGTATATTAAAAACGTACATGAGCTGGGTTCAGTGCATTGTGAGATAGCACGGTTTCTATCTTTTACATGGTAAATGTTTCTATTTAATTAGTTTACTTAGTACGACAGGATTGGTAAACAATTATCACTGGTTAGTTATTAAATATATTTATATTATATATAAATATAATGTGATTAAGCTACATAATTAAATAATAAAAATTGAAAGAATATAAAATTTGAAGTATAATTAGTTAGGCATCAAAGTATATATTGTAGATTACAATATCGTATATATAAATAATAATGTTATATATACTATCAACTAGAATATAGTTAGATTTAATACGCACCTTAATTAATACATATCTTAATTTACCCAATAATATAGAAAAAAAAAAATATATCTTATAAATATTTATATATATATATATAAATGGTAATAAATAAGTAAATGTTAAATTAGTTTAAGGGTAAAACAATTGTTTTGTAATCAGTAGCTTTTGGTTCAAATCCAAAATTTAACATTATATTAGATTATTCCTAATACTATAAAAAGTGTAGTTTTTTTAAGACCTTATCGTCAAAGGTAAGACGTTAGAACTTCACTCTAAAAATACGGGTTCAAGTCCCGTTAAGGTTAAAATAATAATAATAATAAAATAATTATTATTAAAGTAACATAGTGTAATGGTATCACATCAGGCTCATAATCTGATAATATTTGGTTCGAATCCATTTGTTGCTAATATAATAATATTATTAGTAATTAATAAATATTAATTTGGGAACTATAGTTTAAAGGTTAAAACTAACCGCTCATAACGGTTCAATGATTGTTCGAGTCAATCTGGTTCTATAAAAAGTAAAAAATAAAGATAAGTCAAAATGATGGAATTGGTAGACATGATCCGCTTAAGTTGGATTGCTTTTTTGCATATAGGTTCGAGTCCTATTTTTGATATTCTTCTCGAAACCCCTCTCATTTTTAATGAGAGGGGGAGGGAGAAAAGTTATTAACTTTTATAAAAATTAATATATAGTACTAAAATGTAGACTCTGAACCATCCCAAGGGGACGGTTCGAGTCCTATTTTTGATATAGAAAGAAATAACTTTCAATTTTACTTTAAACCCCCTTCTGGTACATACCAGAAGGGGGGTGGTATGTAAGTTTAAAAACGAGCATACAATATAATAATAATATATTCATTATATATAATTATATTATATTATAGTATTTAACTAAACCCTTTTAGATATATAAATTATATATCTATATAAAATGACCATAAATTAAGATAAATATTAATTAATTAAGGGTATAAAATCTTAAGGTCTACTGAGTTGTAGATTAATTGGCAAATCACTTAAATTTGAGTTAAGATTATGAAAGTTCGAATCTTTCCAATTCATTATTAAATAATTTAATAAAGGGTTTATAGTTTAACGGTAAAACTTTTGTCTTTTAATCAATAAATATAGGTTCGATTCCTATTGGACCCCTAAAACTATTAAATAATAAAAATAAATAGTAGTCCTTGGTTAATAAAATTTAATAACATATAGGATGATATTAATAAGATAATGTAATTAAAACCTTTAATTTAACGGTAAAATACATAATTGATAATTATGATACGTCAGGTTCGACTCCTACAAGGTTTAATAAATATGGATATTTGGCTGAGCGGTTGAAAGCATGATATTTGAGCTATCATATATAATAATTTATATCGAGAGTTCGAATCTCTCAGTATCCGAATATTAATATATATAATATTTTTTTTATATAAATGGGATTTTAATTTAACTGGTAAAATAATAGTTTTGCATACTATAAATATGAGTTCGATTCTCATAGATTCCATAATAGTTCGCATAACTTAAATGGTTAGAGTGACAATTTGAAGCATTGTATGTCTAGGTTCAATTCCTGGTGTGGACATTAATAATATATATATAATATAAATAAAGTCATATTAATAATAAATATTTATTCAATACAGTAAAATTATTATTAAGTATAATAAATATATTATTTATTAATTATCAATTAATATATTTTAATATATATAAAGAGATAATAGAGGGTGATATTTTCAAAAGACCTTGCTTAAATATAAGATTATATAATATTATAGGAAAGATCTCCAATGTTGGTATTTGGAGTTGAGCTGTAGTCTCAATGATTAATTTCTTCGTAGGTTCAATTCCTACTCTTTTCATATCTCATATTATAAATATAATATATATGAAATATATAATATAAATATAATTATAAATATATTTTAATATAAAGTATTTATATTTTTATAAGATAGATACTCCCCCTCCAATATATATAAATATATATTTGAGGGGGTATAAAAAATTAAATTATTATTAATTATTATAAATTATTAATTATTTTTTATTATTATGTTATTATAGCTTAAAGGTAAAGCCGATCACTGTTAATGATCTGATGTAGGTTCGATTCCTTCTGGTAACGTATAAAATATTATAAAATATCCTTATATAGAGGAAATTAAAACAAAACAAAATGATGTACTTAACATATTACTTTATTGAAATAACTATATTATTAGCTATTTTATGTACAATATTTATAATATCAGCTAAAAATCCAATGGTAAGTATTTTATATATGATTGCTTTATTTGTTATAGCAGCTATGTATTTATACTTAATTGGATTAGGTATATTTAGTTTATTATATATTATGATATATATAGGAGCTATAGCAGTATTATTCTTATTTATTATTACTTTATTAGATATAAATTCAACTGAATTATCAGTTAAATCTAATATAAGAGATTTACCATTAGTATTAATATCATTAATAGTATTAACTATTAGTGGTTTAATGATATATTCAAATGATAGTGTATTAATAAATAAACTATTAGAAGCTTTTAGTAATGATTATAATACTATAATTACACAAGATTGATTCAATATAGAAAATACTACTTTATTAACAACAATAGGTAATGTATTATTAACAAATAATGCATTTATCTTATTAGTATTAGCTATAGTATTATTATTAGGAATTATAGGTCCTATATCAATAACAATGAAACATAAAGAATAATTATTTTATATAATATAATATATATATAAAATATTAAATCTAATATTAAATTATTATAAATTATAATATTTAATATAGATAAATATATAAATAAAGTCATATCTCTAATATAATTATGGATAGTAGACAAACCATAAAAAAAAATGATAATAAATATCGTAGAAATTTTAATATTTTTAGTTTGTGTGTTATTTAGTGTTGCTTACTTAACTGTAGCAGAAAGAAAAACTTTAGCATACATGCAAAGAAGATTAGGTCCAAATAGTGTAGGTTATCAAAAAATAATGTATTAATTATATAATAAATATATATAATATAATAATATATATTATATATAAATATTTAATTATATTTGTATATAGTTATATATCGGAATCGAATATAATAACTAAAAATATACAAATATAGTTATATAAAAGTATTTATTATTAATTTAATAAAATAAATATAGTAGCCTTAATAGAAGTGAACCTTCTGTTAAATATCATCAAATTGCGGGGAACCCTTAAAGCTATTTCAACTAAGTAAAGATGGTAACATTTTTATGGTACAGGTAATGACTCGTAATATAGTAAAATCGAAATAGATGACGAAAGGAAATAGGCAATCCGCAGCCAAGTTCCATAAAAATGTATTATGGAATGCTGTTCATCGACTAAATGGTGATAGATATCTGAAATATGATATTTAAAATATAGTCAGTCCTTATTTGAAAAAATAAAATATTATTTAATTTATATAATAAATATATAATATAAGGAATAACGTACTATGGACTTCTTCAAGCATTTGCAGACGCGGTAAAATTACTATTAAAAGAAATAGTATTACCAAAAGAATCAAATTATATAATTTTAGTTATTAGTCCTTTAATAACTTTAATTACAGCTTTAATAGGTTGAGTTGTAATACCATTAGGTCCAGGTATAACATTAGGTGAATTAAATTTAGGTATCTTATTTAGTTTAGCTATAGGTTCATTAGGTGTATTTGGATCATTATTAAGTGGTTGATCATCTAATAGTAAATATTCATTATTAGGTTCTATTAGATCTACAGCTCAATTAATATCATATGAATTAATATTAACATCAATATTCATTATAATAATTATGTTTGTTAGTTCATTAAATATAACAACTATAATTGAAACACAAAGAGTTGTATGATATTGTATACCATTATTACCATTATTAATAATATTCTTTATAGCTTCAGTTGCAGAAACAGCTAGACCACCATTTGATTTAACTGAATCAGAGTCTGAATTAGTTGCAGGTTATTTTACTGAATATTCAGGTAGTCCTTTTGTATTCTTCTTCTTAGCAGAATATTCGAATATAATATTAATAAGTGCATTTAATAGTTATTTATTATTAGGTGGATACTTATCATTTAACTATAGTTATTTATTTAATATCTTATTTAATGATTATAGTTATGTATCATTCTTATTTGAAGGTTTAATTAATTCATCAGCTTATGCTATTAAATTAGTATTCTTAATGTTCTCATTCATATGAGTTAGAGCAGCTTTCCCAAGATTTACTTATGATAATTTAATTAACTTCTGTTGAATTATATTATTACCTTTATTATTTGGAATATTCTTAATAATACCATCAATATTATATATATTTGATAGTTTCCCAACATTAATATAATAATATATAAAAATAAATATATATATAAATATAAAAATAATATTAATATAAAAATTATATAAATATAAATATAAATATAAATATAAATATAATATTAAATATAAATATATATATAATGTACGCAAATTAATATTAATATTAATATTAATATTAATTTGCGTACAAGGGATATTGTATCGGTATACAAATGGGATTGCAAATCTTATTATATTAGTTCGACTCTAATATATCCCTTTAATAAAAATAAAATAATATATAAAAAATATATATTAATTGTAATCAAAAAATAAATATATAATATTATATTAATTGTAATCAAAAAATATTATTAATAATTATATATTAGCAAATATAGGTTAATGGTAGACCCAATGATTTCCAATCATTCTGTGCTAGTTCGAGTCTAGCTATTTGTATAAATTTTATTATATAAAAGGGTATAGAAATTAGCTTAACTGGTAAAGCAACTATCTTACACATAGAAGAGTATAGGTTCGAATCCTATATTTCTAATAAAAAAGTGTAATATAATTTAAATAAATCATAAAAATAATAAAAAATTAAGAGTTTTATATTGGCTCCCCTAAGTATTATCTAGAAACATATATTATGCAAACTAACAAATTATATATTTTGGTAACAAGATAAAAATATAATTTAGAGTAGTGAACACACGAGTAATAGATAAGAAACTACAACATAATATTGCTATAAATTAGTAATAAAGAAATTATATAAAGTATATATAAATTTAATAAAGTATATAAAAATATATGTATTATGTGAGGCTTATCTTAATATTAGGTAGTTGGTTATAATAAATAGATAACACAAGCTTAAGATATTTAGTCTAATTTAGACCGTGTAGGATCTGAAAATATCCTAATTTCAATGAAATCAGCAGTAAGTAACATTCGTCAATGATTGAAAGATTGAACGAGTTACCTAGTAGAATTAATAAAACTGAAGTTAAAATAATTTATTTATAAATTAAGATAATAGTTTTAGAAAGAATAAAAAATTCGAAAATTAATAAAAGAAAGATATATTAATTTTTATAGTATGTACTAATTTCAGTGCCAGCAGTAGCGGTAATACTGATCATGCGAATACTTATAACATACTTGGCTTAAAGGGTTTGCAGATGGTTGTTTAAATACAAGCTAGAATTTATTAAATGTTATATCAATTTTTAAAGTAAAGATAATATTTGCGTATATTAAAAGTTGATCCAAAAATTGAAAAATAATAACAAAAATGAATTGACATTAAGAAACGAAAGTTAAAATATAGAAATCGATTAGATACCGGTGTATTTTTAACCGTAAACGAAACATATTGAGAATAAAAAAAGTTAAACGAGAATATGTCGCCATAGTAGTACGTTCCCAGGAATGAAACTAAAAATATAAGACGGTTTGGAACTCAAGTAGTGGAACATGTTGTTTAATTCGATAATCCCCGATAAACTTACCTATTTTTGTATTCTAAACAGGTGTTACATCATTGTCTTCAATTCGTGTTGTGAAATGTTAGGTTAAGTCCAAACAACGAATAAAAACCTCAATAATATATAAATATTATAATTTTTTAATCAAAATGGTTAGCATAAAGAGGACTAAGACAAATCAAGATGACCCAAATAGATAGGGCTACAGATGTGTTACAAGTAATAATAAAATAAAAAATTAAATAAATAATAAAAACTTTAATAAAGAATATATATTATTTTATTAAATGATTATTTCATTTTCTCTATGGATAAAAGTTTGAAATTCAGCTTTTTGAAAACGGAATTACTAGTAATTATCGTTAAGTATACGATAATGAATAGAATCTTTCATTCGTACTAATCACTCATCACTTGCTTAAAGAATAAAATGTTAAGTTTTTTTAAAGTAAATCAAATAATAATTTGTTTTTATATTATTAATTTATTAATAATAATTGTTATAAATTTATTAAAAAATATAACAATATTAAATACACATTAAGTTTAATAAGTAAGAAGTTGAAATACAGTTACTGTAGAGGAATCTGCAGTGGTAAATAAACATTTAAGAAGAATCTTTTTAAATATATATAAGATGTTTATAGTTTAATGGTAAAACATAGACTTGTGGTGTCTAATTTTTGAGTTCGATTCTCAATTAACATCCATTAATATATAATAACAAATTCAAATATATATAATAATATTTGGTACAATTTAATAAAATAAATAAATGAAATATTTAAATAAACAAAATAATAATTTTAAAATAAATAATTTTAATTATTTAACTAAAAATAATTTAAAACAAAGTGATATTATAAATAATATAGAACAAATTATAAATACATATATGATAAAATTTATAAATAATAATGTATTTGAAGATAATAAATTATCATTAAATAATAATAATAATATAATATTAAAAGAAGATACAATAAATTTAAATAAAAGAAATACATTATATAATACAATATTTAATATAAATAATAATAATATAGAAGTAATAATATTTATATATGAGAAAACATTAAAAAATAAATTATTATATAATTATATAACAAATTTAAGATTAAAAAAAAGATTTTTAAATAAGAAAAATAAAAAGACTGATATATCATTAAATTTATTAATTAAACATAATAATAAATCATTATATTATATAAATTCAACTAATAATAATAATAATAATAATTATTCAAATTTAGAAAGTTATATAAATAATATATATAAAGATATGAATATTACTATAAAACCTATAATATTAAAATATCCTCAAATGGATAATAAAATCTTAAATAATTATATAATGTTTAAACAAACTAAAGATTCAAAAATAATATGAAGAAATTATAGAAATTTATTTAATAAAATGAAAATAGTAAATCATAAGTATATAAGTAATATATTTATATCAAATATTAAAAAAATAGATGATAATATTAATAAAATTAATAAAGATTTACCTTTAAATACAATAAATAAAAATAAAAATAATATATTATCAGATTATTTATTATATAAAAGAATAATAGGTTTAAATTTAAAATTTACAGGACAATATTTAACTAAAAAGAAAAAAAGTAAAGTAAAAGCTTATTCAATGAGTAAAGGTCCATTATATAATTCAATGTGTTCATATAATAATAATTATAATAGTATAATATTTAATAAATATCCAGGTTATATTAATGTATATTCAAAATCAACAACTTATAATAATACAATTTTAGGTAAAGTAGGTTTAAATACAAAAATATCATTAGTATAATAAATATATAAATATATATATAAAAATATATAGATATATATAAGAATTAATAGCTTAATGGTAAAGCATACACTTGTCACGTGTAGAAATGTCTGTTCGACTCAGATTTAATTCGTAAAATAAAAATAATTAATATTAAAATATAAATATTAATATAATATTATAAATATATGTATAAATATATAAAAAGTATTTAACATAAACAAATAATTATAATAATGTTTATGTAGTTTAATGGTAAAACTTTCGCTTCATACGCGAACTCTGGTAGTTCGATTCTACCCATAAACGATAGAAGTAGAAATGAAATTTTGTTAGTTTTATTTATCAAAAACTATATAAATTTACTAAAATATATGTATATTAAATATATATATATATTATATATAACTTTAAAAGTTAAATTTCAAGATAACTAATAAAAAATTATATATAACTTATAATCACTTGTATATTCGAAGATTAAGTAGATTAAACAAAATATATACAATAAAAAAATATAAATTATTTAAGTGTACTTAAAGTAATTTAAAGACAAATAATTAATATTAAGTATATATTCTGAGTTTATATAATATAAAACCTTATCACTCTTTATTAGAGTTGTCTTTATAATAAAAATATAAATTATATATTAAATATATAATTAATATGGATATTAATATTAATATATTATTACACTAAATATATTAATATATGAAAATTACTATTAAATTATCCCTCTTATATTTTATATAGGAAGGTAAAAAATGTGGTATAGAAATATAGAAAGACAGAGAAAGATTCAAAATTTATTCATTATAGGGTCATCCTATGAAAAATATTCATAATGAGTTTAAAATTAAATATTCAAAGATGATTATTTTCCACAAATGCTAAGGATATTGCCGTACTGTACTTTATTTTTGCATTATTTTCTGCAATGATTGGTACAGGGCTATCAGCTATAATTAGATTAGAGTTAGCCAATACAGGTTCTCCATTCTTAAACCATAATACACAAGCTTTTAACGTTGTAATAACTGCTCACGCTATACTTATGATTTTCTTTTTCGTTAACATATAAGGAAATAATTAAAATTTATACACAAAATAATAATTATAATAATAATTTCTATGTTATACTCTATATATTATATATAAATAATAATTATAATAATAATAATAATCTATTATTTAATATATAAAGTGAATTAAGAGAAAGTTATTATAGAGGTGTATGAAAATTTTAATACAGGCAAGGCGAGATAAAATAGAAATATTTTATACTAGATTTCACTATATGCTGAAATATCTTTAGAGCTTTTAAAACTAGTTTTTGCAGACTTTATTAATAAAGTGGCTATTAACAGTAACATCTTAAAAGATTAGACAATCAGCAGATAACCAAAGATTAATGTACATATATAAAAAATATGTTAAACACATTAATTAAGTAGATATCTCAGAGACTACACGTGAAATACCTTATTAAACATTAATATTTAATGTTAATTGGTAAAGATATAGTCCAGATGTCATTGAAAAATGGCTTTTCAGACTGAATGCCAGCGTTAGTAGGAGGATTCGGTAAGAAAAGGGAAGATTTATTAATTATAATAATTAATTATAATAATATCTTTCTAAAAGTAATTGCCGTTATAAATTGTAAAGTTTATAATTATTACGATACTATATGCGGGAAACTCTTAAAGTTATGATTAAATCTATTATATTTATATAATATAAATATATGTTTAACGATATCATAAATATAGAATTATATTCTAAAATAGACAATCCGCAGGTTATTTTTAATAAAAATATATAAATAATTAATATTTATATATATTCTTATATTAAAAATAACCTCAGAGACTACACGTATCGCACCTATTATTAGGTTGAAGATATAGTCCAATAGTTAATTGAAAAAATAACTAATAAATTGAATTACTTAATGCCTCTTATGTTAGGAGCTAGTGATATGGCTTTTGCAAGACTGAATAATATCTCGTTCTGATTGCTTGTTCCTTCATTAATATTAATATTAACTTCAGCTTTAGTTGAAGCAGGAGCAGGTACAGGATGAACTGTAAAAGAAATATGCAGTTCTAAAATGCCATTCGATGCATGAAACACCTTTATAATAATAAATATTATAAATTGTTTAAATTACTCAATTGTCTTACTTATATGTTATACTATATACGGATATAATAATATATCATATATAGGTATTAAATGATTAAATTCATTTATGAGTCA